GTTTCTTCTAAAAGCCTTTCCACATTGATCACATTTATAAGGCTTTTCACCAGTGTGGATTCTCTGATGTTCAACAAGTTTGGCGTTCAGTCTGAAAGCCTTTCCACATTGATTACATTCATAAGGCTTCTGTCTTATGTGGATTCTCTGATGTGAAGTAAGACTGGTCCTCTGTCTGAATGCCTTTCCACACTGATCACATTCATAAGGTTTCTCTCCAGTGTGGGTTTTCTGATGTTGAGCAAGTTTTAAGTTCAGTCTGAAAGCCTTTTCACATTGCTCACGTTCACAAGGTTTCCTGTCACTATGAATTCTTGGACACATAATGAAGGAGGAGTGTTCACTAAAAGCTTTACCACATTCATGACACTCATGTGGTTTCTCTCTAGTATGAATTTTTTGATGGTAAATAACAGATGACTGTTGACTCAAGTCTTTCCCACAATGATGAGAATCATAAGGTTTTTCTCCTGTGTGGATTCTGTGAAATACAGCACAGATTTGTCTCCCAGTGAAGTCATAGGCACAATCCCTCATGGAACTTTCCTCATGAGTCTCTTTCACAGAAATGCTTAGCTTTGCAGTAGTCTCTTTCATTTCCGGTCTAATCTCTCCTTCTGCAAGAAACAAACAATGAAACCATAGAGAGACACATGCATACATATATATAATTATAATCCCTTCCCGCCATTGCAAGAAAGTAAATTAACTGATCTATATCCTACTTCTCCAGGCTAAGAGAAAACTCTTCAAAGTTCAATGGACAGAACCAATCATTTGAAAATGCCATTATCTCCTTGTGTTTTGTTTCCTCTTTCTGGTGGTTCCTCCTATTGGATCTAATTCTTACCTACAACATCACTAATGTGAAAATATGTGTAATAGGAATGTAAATGTAGAGCATATATCACATTGTGTGCCATCTTGGGGAGGAAGGTGGGGAGGGAAGGGGAGAAAACTTTAAAACTCAAAAGCTTATGGAAGTGATTGTTGATAATTTAAAATAAATTAATTAAAAAAAAATTTTAAATGCCATTATCTTACAAAGAGCTTCACACACAATCACATTGGATCCTCACAAACA